GCGACTGTGCCATTCAGCCAATGTGTACTGGCATTAGGTGACAGCCTAATGGGTGTCATAGTCCTCCCCACTGTTCTGTACCTCTCGAAAGTCCTCGCAAAGCTGGCCATGGGCCTCGACCGACGTCCAGACTTAATTGCCCACCTACTGCGACTCGAAGGCCGGTCAAATCAAGAAGAAGCTACGGAAAAGGTGACGCTAGTGGAGAAATCTGCAAATGTTGTTCGGGAAGCATTCATTAAGTGTTTAACGGACAGAAGTGGTACGCCAGGTATCCACGGAAAGCCAGAAGGGAAGAGGATAGGGATCTACTTGATGGCAAACCTTTGCCTCAAGCTGCTTTTCCAGGTATGACTGGGTATCCTTCAGTGTGATAAATGGACTAACATGGGCCAGTGCGGCAAACTCCGAAACGCAGAGCAAATGTTTGCGAGTATCAGCGCACAATCCCCTCCTCTGAAACACTTCCCAGCTTCGCAGCGCGTCACCTATCTATACTACCTCGGACGTTACCTGTTCTCCAACAACCTCTTCTACCCCGCCCAGATCGCCCTTCAAGCTTCTTACGATCAATGCCACCGTCAGGCGACGAATCAGAAAAGAGTCATCCTAACCTACCTCATTCCTTGTAATATAATACTAGGACGCTTCCCCTCATTACAGTTATTGCAGCGTCCTGAGGCCGAAGGGCTGGTAGACAAATTCGTGCCGATTTGTCGGCTGATTGCTCGGGGCGATTATATAGCGTTCCGCGAGCATCTTGCAATTGGGTCCCCTGAAACAGAATGGTTCGCTCGGAAAGGCATCCTTCTTGCCCTACGCAACAGATGCGAAATCCTTGTCTGGCGGTCACTTGCACGAAAGGTCTTTATTTTCGCCGGTTTCCACGGCGATCCTTCACTTGGCCCTTCTCAACGTGGACCGCCACCATACCTCTATCTCAACAAGTTGGATGCGGCGGTCCGATGGATTCAATCTCAGCATGCCCAGTCGGCCCAAAGCTCAGTAGGATTCTTCGCCTCCAAAGCCGAACCAGATTCCCAAGCGGGTCAAAATCTGTTCGGGTCCCAGATCATACACAAAACAACGGATTGGGATTTCGAGGGGCTTGGCGAGTTGGACGCACAAGAGGCAGTCACAAGTCCAGGCCTTATTGAGAAATACGGGGACTACCTGGCACCGGACGGATATTTCGATGCGCAGGGACAGTGGCAGATGAACCAACCGGGCAGTCTTGTTGATGGACAGCCCTCTATAGATTACCAGCAATATGAGCTTGACCCGTACGCGAGTCGAGCCGACGGCGAGCAGGACTCAGGCAGACCTACTCTCATGATGCGCGAGCTTGAGTCCATCCTGGCCTCCCTTCTCACCCAGGGTCTGATGCGTGGATTCCTGACTCACAAAAATCCTCGTCTGGCGATTCCCGGTGCGCGTCTCCGTGGTGCCATACCGACTGGCTTTCCCAATGTTTGGCAGACAATCCTGGCTCGGGAACAAGAAGACGACAACGTTCCGGGATGGGTCCAACCGCCAGCGGTGGCACCACCTCCGACAGCCGGAGGTGGACGTGTTGTCAATCTGTCCGGAGCGAGACCTGTCGGAGTACAGTAACGACATTAGCTACCCATGTGGAGGCACAGCCCAATGGAGGATCTTTTGTACATAGCAACGAATACCATGACACAAACACAAAACAACTAACGTAATCAACGGCTGGACGGCCCATCTGGTAATACTATATAAAAGACTCTTTTCAAACACAAGTTATCTCAACCATTATAAGTCTAGAAGCCTTAATAATGCATAAATAGATAATAAATTATATGAATAATCATTTGTTACTTTTCAAGAATTTATATAAATAGAACAAGTATCTTATTATATCATAATACTATATGTATTCTATATGAGATTTTGGATACATTGATGTAATTCATATAAGAAAAAATCTTCAAATTTGAAAGAAATCATTTACTATTCTCTATAATGTCTATTATCTATATGTGAAGTTAGAACTAATTAGCTCCAGTATTGGTTGAGATATAATAGATTCAAAAAAGCGTCTTTTATATGGATAACCAGATGGGCTGCCCAACCGTGTGGGCCGTCCAACCGTTGATTACGTTATGTGAATGGTAAGCCAACATCTGCAACCACCTACCTGATGCGACTGAACGATGGAACATCCGCATCAAGTCATTCAGACCGTCCGGGCGGTCGAGATATCTGCTTTAGGGGATGATCGACCAACCGGGCGGTCGAGATATTTGCTTTGGGAGATGATCGACCGCCAAGCTCGGAGTCGGGCCCGAGATTTCGGTCATAATTCAAAAGCCGAGGACTAAATTCCGACACTGCCAAGGCTCAGATTAACGATTCTGGACTCGAAGCTTGTGGAGCAGGGTCTCTCGACCGTAAGCTTACAGTCCCCAAACGGCATGGCGGCGGGTGTGGCAGAATTCTGAAGGATTACTGAAGAATTCCAGAACAGGTGGCGAGCGCTTATCCGCGAAATGACCGGGGTAGGTTCAAAATAAGCTTACTTGGGCCTGCAGGACTAACATCAAGTCCAGTTCACGGCTTCTGGTCCTTCTTACAATGGTCAATGCAGTTTTCGGAACGCTCATTACTGGACCCCACCTGATACATTGGTCCGATTCAAACAGGCATAGCAATGTTACAACAGGCTTCAATCCCCGGGTGGATGACGACGCCGCCCTCGGTGCAAACAATCCCTCCTTATAAAATCTCGGACTTGCAGTTATGAGCTTGCGTATACCTTCAAGGCCTTCTTTATAAAAGGGGAACCTCTTCCAGTCATTTTGCCACTTCGTCACACTTTCAGAACAATAACCCTTCGGCATTCGCTCGTTTCTCTTCATCATCTAGCTGCACCGATCTTCCCCATGCGCGCTGTTTCAACGTTGGCCGGCCTGGCTGCCGCTGTGCCCCTGGCTGCGTCTGCAGCCATTCAGACAGGATCAGCCGGCTCTGACCTTCCTATTGTGAACACCACTCTGGGATATGTGCGGGGCACATACTCCCCCTTCCGTGGTGGTGACACCGCCGTTGTCTACAGAGGTATTCCGTTCGCCGCTGCCCCGACCGGTGAAAACCGCTGGAAGGAGCCCCAGTCACCCCAGCCCTGGTCTGGTGTCCTGAATGCAACCGAATTTGGCCCTCAATGCGCCCAATCATACAGCAGTGCGGGCATCTTCAGTAGCGGAAAGGAAAGCACTAGCGAAGACTGCCTTTATTTGAACATCTGGACCCCTAACTACAACGACACCTCTGACATCACCTCCAAGAACCTGCCGGTGTACTTTTGGATCTACGGCGGTCGCTTTGAGGCTGGTTCCGGTGACGTCCTGACCTACGATGGCACTGGTCTCGCCGCCAAAGATATCATCGTCGTCACCATCAACTACCGGGTGGGCCCCTTCGGCTTCCTCGCCCACCCCGAACTGTCCGCCGAATCCGGTCATAACAGCTCTGGGAACTACGGTATCCTCGACCAGCAAGCCGCCCTTCGCTGGGTTCACGAGAACATCGCCAACTTCGGGGGCAATGCCAGCCAGATTACTGTTGGCGGTCAGTCTGCCGGCTCGGCCAGCTCCTTGGATAGCATGTGGAGCCCGCTGACCAAGGGCCTCGTTGCCGGTGTCATCTCTGAGAGCGGTGCTCGCGGTCCCCATGACCCCATGACCGGCAGTGCTGCCACCAGCCACCGCACTAAGGTGGCCGCCGAAGCCCAGGGTGTCGAGTTCCTCAAGGAGCTGAACGTCACCTCCATTCAAGAACTGCGCACCTCCGTCTCCATGGAGACCCTGCTCGAGTACGCCTCTCTCAGCGATACCATCTTCGAGGGTACCCAGTTCGCCAACGCTTCCGCCTTCTTCATGGAACCCCCGGTGTGGCGTCCCAACATCGACGGCTACGTCTTCCCCCACGACTACACCCAGTCCCTCCTTCTCAATGCCCACGCAGACGTTCCCATCCTCACCGGAAACAACAAGGACGAGTCCGGCGCCGAGACTGACCCCGGTCTCACTGCTTCCACCTACAATACCCTCTACCAGGAGGTCTTCCAAAACTTCTCGGAAGAATTCTTCAAGCTCTACCCCGGCGATTCCACCTCCCAGGCCAACAACAACTCGAACGCCCTCTACCGCGACATGAGTCGTATCGGCACCTGGCAGTGGGCTCTCGACTGGGCCAAGGGTGGTGCCAAAAGCCCTGTCTACACTTACTACTTCACTCGCTCCCCGGCTGAGGACCGCGAAGATGGCGCCTACCACGGCTCGGAACTCTGGTACACCTTCAACAACATCCCTTACTCCGACTACTCCAACGTCACTTGGTACCCTTATGACTATGTGGTTGAGGAGAAAATGTCCAACTACTGGGCTAATTTCATCCGTACTGGTAACCCGAACGGCGATGGACTCCCTCATTTCCCGCCCAGCACCGAGACCAAGCAGACTATGTGGTTGGGTGACTCTTGGGGTGCTGGCCCTATTTCCGCTAGCGAGGAGCGTATCGAGTTCATCAAGAGCTGGTTTGCTACCATGCCTGAGTGGTAGACGGATGGGTGTATCATATCACTTTTTGTACAGAAATCGTCTGTTTACTTCTCCTGTTTGTTATCGTGCCTGAGGCATGCGATGTATTATACATATTTGTCAAGTTCTTACGCTCGTTTACTGGTGTATAGATATTACTTAGCTCACTGGTACCTTACTTTTGAATAAATACTTTTAAATAGTGGTATCGCGTATCACATTATCCTCCCAAATTTAGCCGTGGTGTTACTGCGCTTGAGTATAGTAAAGACTTCAGTGCTGATTCTTAAATATTTTTTATACAGCTTAACTACGGAACAAGTGCTACTATTGATAGGTACCTTGACACGTCTACTGAGTAGAAGATCCAACGCATTCATATCGAATATCCAATTAGATAATATACTTAAGTAGGTAGGACATTTGGTCATGTTGAACAAATACACATTACCGATGTGCTATGCCGTACAAACTGAATATTTAATACTAATGTAATTGAAGTTACAGAATAGAAAGAAAAATAGAAAGTGATATGAGATTGAACCAATATATTGCCATTGCGAGTCAGAACCAAAAGCTAGACATACCAGGGTATCAAGATCATCTTCAGAGGTAAGACCTTCATATAATGGAAAACAGAAGTGTAGAACGAAACTCGAAAATGAGAGGAAAGCTAGACACCACGAACAAACCGCGCAGCAGCCTCAATCATCTCCTCCTGCTCCTCTTGCCACCCAAGAATATGTCCCATCATATAGATATCATGCGGCAAGCCTGGCAGTTCCAGGTATTCGACATTATTGCCCGGGACAGCCCGCATCGCATCCGCAAATCCCCTCACACTATCACACAGCATTTCCGCACCTCCAACCTGCGCGAAGATCGGAACAGGTGTCGCAAAGGGATGCAGCGCCGGCGACAAGTACGGATCATCTAGACGCACTGACTCCGGCGGAGCAAACGCACGCGCACCCCACGCAGCCATCTCCCCAACACAGTAATCAGTCCGCTGATTCCGGTGGGCGTTGACAGCATGCGAGTCACCCTCGAAGCTGTACTCAACCGAGGGTGAGAACAGAAGGCACGCCCGAGGTGGTGGCAGCTCTGCAAGCTCATGGCCGCTCTCATGCTGGAATGAGGCGAGGTGGCGCAATAGAGCCATGACCATGGTAGCTCCGGATGAGTCGCCGACGAGCACGATGCGGGACGGCGAGATGTTCAGTTCTCGAACAAGGTAGAGATATGAGGTCATGGCGTCTTGCATGGGCCCCGGGTATGGGGTTGGATTGTTACCACCTGCTAGCCGGTACTGCACCCACAGCGACCGGGTACCTGTACCCAGCTTCTCGTTGAGTAGGTCGGCTGTGAAGCCGGAGTCATCGGGCCTGCCAGTTAGCCAGAGGAATGCGCTGCCGTGGAATGATAGGATAACGAGGCTCTTCTCGTCATCTATCTCTTGCTCTTGATCATCATTCTTGATGTCGATGATTGGTGGCAAGGTCTTAGGTGGAGGAGAGGGATACCATGTCCCGCCGATGGTTTCAGGTTTGATAGTGTCGCTTGTGAAAGCACCGCGATACGAGTCTTCCGGGGCTGGGTTCATGAGGACCCATCGGTTGCCCAGCTTGCCTGACTCCAGGCTCAGGGACTGCGCGTAGCCGAGTTCGCGGATGATGGTCATGGCTAGCTTTGTGAGATGGGTGGTGAATGCTTGGCGATATGTCCATGTCGGACTCTGTCTGAAAGAGGGTATTATGTAGTAAATGCCAAGGAGTAGAGATACTAGTGAGACTCGGATGATTGATATAAGCAGCCAGATGGTCCAGCCTGGTTGGCGAGTCCGCCAGCCGTTGGGGATAGCGTCGTCCTCGGCCAGCGTGCGCGCCATTGTCGACGCTTTTCTTTTGATCTTTCTAGAAGTGTTGCCTGATACTAATCGGTTCGTACCTCGATGGGAGATGACAGAGGTGGCTTGTCTGGTAATATAAGATGGGGCAGCCTCGCTGAGATCACCCGCTCTAGGCAACCCGCGCGGCAATCTGGAACAGGCCTGATTGGCTGCCGTTGCTGCGTGGAGCATGACCGATATTGTCCAATCAGAGGCCAGCCGAGCAAACTTTGAGGCCTCAGGCAATAACCCCGGTTGGGTTGCACATACTCTTCCTCTATTAGGACCCCCTGTATCTCTTTCTGTGTCATCTGGTGTTCATCTTTTCCATTTTCACATGTTTGTAGATACTCTACCTGTCCAAGTCAGCCATGTCTGCTACTTGAATACTATCTTCTATCCTTTTTATGGAACAATATTGTCACAAATATATACTATTCGGCTCATTTACTATTTGTACTGCCGAGTTGACTTTATTCGATAGGTGGACGGCCTCTGCTTTCTATGGCTGCAGTGTAAAATCATGGTCATGCCGACCTTTCAGATAGTCATAGTTCTCATCCACCCACTCAACGCACGGTACCAAATGGCCCCAGTCCACCGTCCCTTGTAAGCTCCGAGGTAGTATGACCTTCAAGTCTGAACGGTACCACGCCGGGAAATGGATCGTCACGAGCATAACACGCGGGTCATCTGTGCGGTTCGGCATGCCTGCATGCCACAGCCGAAAGTCCCGAATAATGATAGCTCCCTTCGGTAGAGATGGCTGCACTGGGGGAGAAATCTTGCGGCGAGCCTCAACGATCTCCGGGATCACACCCGTGTCGTCACTGTCTCGAGGATCGGCGTCCCGGTGGCTACCAGGCCAGAGCTCGGTGGCGCCATTCTCCGGAGAGGTTGCCACCAGATTTACATTGATACACAGTCCAAACGGGATCTTGGGAAAGTCAAAGTGCACGTCGACATGCACCGGTTGCCGGTCCTCGGCTTTGAAGGCCGTGTTGGCGCTATAGAAACGTAGGTGTGGGCTTGGCCCTAGCATGCATTCGGTGATAGCAGTTGCCCAGGGGTTTGCAATGACATCCTCAAACATGTAGTTCGGGTCGACGACTGGCTCTTGCTGGATATTTCCTGTGCGGGTGCCAAAGTTGCGGTGGGTTTGCGGGTTGGCATATAGAGTCTTGGCCTCAGGGACCATGCGCTCGTTCAGTTTATCGAGATGGGCAGGGTCAACGCCGTTGGTGATAACACAAACGCCATCTCGATGAAGGCCTTCAAGAGCCGCTTGGAGGTTATGAGAAGAGACCTTCTTGGTAGCGCGTTCCTCGTCCGAAAGTGTAATTTGAACCAGCTGCGGTATTACCATGGTGGCGTTTTCAATTGAAATCGTAATAAGAAAACTAGAAAAAGACCGGGGACCAGACTATAACATTCACTGCACTGCTCCCAGGAGCGAGAGGGGTCACCTATATAGTTTGCAGAGCAAAGATACATTTGGATAACCGCACTGATAAGCAACTCCTCCCGACTAAAGTGATACGCCTTCCCAGTTGGGGATGGCCGGTGGTGGCGGCAGGTGACCCGACCAATCGCTGGCCTGAGGTTTACCGTCGGCTGCTTGGACCTTCCTCTCTTCTTTCATCCTTCTTCATCCTGATAGTCAGGAGGACTCCAGTTGGCACTTGGCTCGTTATCTGCCGTGCTGCTGCTGCTCCTCACAGGTCTTGGACCCTGCAGGTCTGTGAAGTCAAGATATAGCAAACCGATAAATAAAGGCAAGACTCAACTATAAAGTAGGGGCTTGCGTCCAGAAGGTGTGTGATTGACTTTCTAAGCGAAATATTGCCCTTTGCTACCTTTATTGTATCATTTAATCTAACCAGTCATGTCTTTAGAGGGGAATAGAAAGAAGTCGGGGGTTCCGGATGAAATCGTCAAACAATTACCTAGTAACGTTGAAGAGACTGGGACTGAACGAACCAATGATGCAGAAAAATCCCTGGCCCATACCAGATTCGAGCACAGTCTCGGGTTCTGGAAGGCGTGCCAATTCTACCGTCCAGCCCTGCTATGGTCTTGCTTCGTCAACTTAGCAGTCATTCTGTGTGGCTTTGATGGCGCCTTGATTGGAAGTCTGGTGGGGCTGACCCCGTTTGTTCGCACATATGGCAGATTGGTGGACGGGCAATATGCGGTTGCTCCCTCTTGGCTGTCTGCCTTCAATTATGCATCATACGTGGGCAGTGTGCCTGGGTCGCTGGTGGCAGGCATTGCCTACGACAAATACGGCCCGCGCATGACCCTCGCTGCAGCTTCACTCGGCTCGATCGGGTCCATCTTCTTTCAGTTCTTCAGCGAAGGCCCAGCTCTTCTCTTCGTTGGCGAGCTACTTAACGGATTTATTACAGGTGTCTACCCTGTCCTCGCTAATGCCTATGTTAGTGAAGTTGCTCCCGTTGCAGCTCGCGGTGTCCTCGCTGCCGTCATAAACCTGTCCTATGTCATTGGTCAACTAGTGGCTTCGGGACTACTCAAGGGAACAAGCACAATGGATAACAAGTGGGCTTATAAGATCCCGTTCGCTTCACAATGGGCTCTGCCTGTCTTCATCCTTTCGCTCATATACTTCTGTCCGACTCCTCCTTACTGGCTCTGCAAGAAGGGTCGACCAGAGCAAGCGCGAAAATCTATCCAGCGTTTGACGACATCCGAACTTGACGTGGACGCATACCTCGCTCATATCCAAGAGACTCTCCGCTTAGAAGAGAGCTCCAGGAACAAGGCTAGCATTCTCGACTGCTTTCGCGGTACAAATCTACGGCGCACTATTATCTCCTGTCAGGCTTTCAATATTCAAGCCCTCTGTGGTAATATTTTGTTCATAAATTATGCCGTTTACTTTTTCGAGAATGCTGGTCTAGATACGTCTGATGCCTTCTCAATGAATGTGGGGCTGACATGCATGGGCTTCGTTGGGACACTAGCCTCCTACGTTCTCATCTCATACGCCGGTCGGCGCACCATCTACCTTTGGGGCTCTACCGTGATCGCCTTGCTCCTACTTCTCGTCGGGATTCTGGCCGTTGTGCCCCAGCACAATTCGGGACCTGTGTGGGCCATGTCCGCCCTTATGGTGATATGCAACCTCGTCTACGACATGTCGGTGGGACCACTGTGCTTCACCGTCATGTCCGAGGTGTCCGCCGTTAACCTGAGAGGTGTCACTATAGCCCTGTCCAACGTCACTGTGGTGATATGGTCTGTTATATTTGCTGTCGCCATTCCCTATGCAATGGACACTACTGGTGCCAATTGGGGCGGCAAGCTGGGATTCCTATTTGCTGGCATCGGAGTTTTGGATACACTATGGTGCTACTTCTTCCTGCCAGAGACAAAAGGTCGAACATTTGAGGAGCTGGATTTCATGTTCCAGCAGAAGCTACCCACGCGTCAGTTTAGAAAGTACCAGTTTACAGAGACACAGCAAGTAGCACCAGAGGCTTAACTTGTTTGACAATATAAGCTAATAAGATACAATCAGAAGGCAAGCTTTCCTCTGAGATATGTGGAGATTAGATTTCAGTGAGAAGGTGGAAAGGCTATTTCACTTTTGGTTCTGTGGTTAAATGGCCAGCTTTAGTGAAGTACTTATAGTTGAGTTAATTCTCTGATATAGTAACTGTTGTCTTATTCTATCAGACGCAGCTTTGGGAGTGTTAGTATAGTTCTTGGCTTATGTAATTTTACTTTTCCGCTCATTCAACAAGCGGGTCCCATAGCTCAGTTGGTTAGAGCGTGACGCTAATAACGTCAAAGTCGAGGGTTCGAGCCCCTCTGGGACCATCTCTTTTTGCATTTTTTTTCTAATTCTCTTCTTGAATGGGTTGCACGGCAGAGTGATGTGCTCCCATGGAGTCAGCAGAAATATTCGCTGCCCCTGCGGTTTGCGTGGATGAGACGGCCAAATACTCATTATCATTGATAAGGTATATCTTCAAAAGGTGCCGAACACTCATCACCCCTATCCTACTCTAGCCCTGGGGTGGAAGACCAAGGCCTAATATTTCATTACCTTTTACCGGCCGTCTAAAGCTGGGCTGGCTGCTCGATTTGGTAGGTCATGCAATTGACGGAGATTTACATGGTCGGGTTGCAGCATCGTAGAACTATTTATGCCACCATCCCGTTAATAAAGTCTAGTCTTAAGTCGCCAACCACATGAGTTTCATACACAACCGACCGGGGAGCCAGATACATGCAACACTCACTGTCCTGATATCCTCGCGCTGAGTAGAATTACTAATATATATATATATATGCCTTGATGGCGCATAAGGACCGGATGATATCCGTCGTGGGCAAAATTTGTAATTACCGTCGACTCGATGTAGACTTTCAGGACACACTAGTAGTTGGTATGGTCCGGTTTCGCAGAACGCATGTACGCCAGAAAGGTCAAGCCAATTTTGAATTATACTCCATTGGCGCGTCAGCTGATTGAATGGAATAGATAGTGAGTGTGTGGTAGGTAAAAAAGCAAAAAAAAGATGGTCCCAGAGGGGCTCGAACCCTCGACTTTGACGTTATTAGCGTCACGCTCTAACCAACTGAGCTATGGGACCCGCTTGTTGAAAAGAGCTGTTCAAAATGGTTATATAGTGCAAACACAAAGTGGGTCACTGTTCTTGGCTCTTCGATGGTGTCAATAGCACGTCCAGATTGTATCAAATATATTGAGCACGCTGGCTCCAGCATCTTACTTCTGGGGATCTGAAACTTTGGGAGGTTTGTTTTTTATCAACTACATCTTATAGTAGGACTAGCCCTACTCTGGCTTACGTGTTGAGTTAGCAGATACCATTACTTCTACTAGTTCCTAGAGAATTGAGATCGGTCCATCCTGACATAAATATATATATTCAGTTTCGCCAAGTTCAAAACACAGCCATCTGCCAGTAGTTCTTGTTTCTCTAGTAATAATACCATAGCATTAGTACCAGTACCACTACCACTGTACTAGTTCGTTATCCTACTATGGAAATTGAACCACTATCTCGTTCAGTACGAGTGGTAGTGTTACTACACAGCATGAGTAGATAAGTACTACTACTACCTATAAAAGTATCTTTGATCACCTTTCCTCCGCGGACTATTCTTATTTCGTTTTCTAAATGCTTTATATCCAGCAGTATTAACGAAATATCTGCCTTCCCATTTCCCTCTTCCTCTCCTTCCCTTAGCGTCACATCGGGCGACGTACAATGTAACATTGAAATCATTGATATTAGTACTACCGGTATTTAGAGTATATATACTACCTCAATAGAATGATTTCCACAAGGTTAGTTTATCTCGTGGATTTGGTAAAATCTATTCACCTCTTGGATTTTTTCCCTCCCCCCCCCCCCCCAAGTACCTTTGTCAACCCAAGAATAATATTAATTCCTCATCAGATTGGATTAGCTTGGTTCTCTTCTGGTCCCCGCCACCGAATAGGCTCCCGCACTGTCTGACTACTGTCGAGAGAAGTGCCAATACAGCTCGCATGAATTGCTCGATTTCATGATTGTCTATTGCAAATTGGTAATTCAGCTTCATGAACTCCTGTGCAGTTATCTCTGGATATAATTGGATTGGTGTTAGCTTTGCATCTTCAGATGAACGACTGCCGAAGCTGGACTTCCACGCATGGTGACGAGGAGCGCAACTGGCCCAGTAGTGAGTGCCAGCCACGGTACTCCCCCCACCACCTCAATCCACTTCCTCACGTGGAAGGGAAGTGATGGATTTTGGGCATAAATCAGGCTTTTTCGTTCAAGATATTGCCGTTCCGGATCGACGAGAAGCTGGCGAACCTTCGCTTTCGCCTCATCGATAGAGCTGTTCTCAGTCCGACGGACCACTTCCACCACATTAGTGAGCCGAGTTCCGCTCTTCATAGACTCATGGTACTCCCGATCGAAGCTCCAGTAATCATTGGTTCAGATGATTGCTTTGTCAATAGGTTCCATAACGGGCTCGATGAGTTTTTTATCGTCATCCGACAGACGCATGGCCATGCCAAATTCCACCATCGGCCAGAATGCCCTGAGGTAATCAAAACTAAGCTCGTCAAGTAGGTCAAAATTGCCAGTCTCTCGGGAGCCACCTCGGGATAAGCAGAAGCGCCTATATTCCCCAGCTCACTGGTGGATATCAGTGCTTTCTCAGCCAGGCCGTCATGCAGAGCATGGTCCCAGTCCTGAAGAGCTCTTCTGGTAGCTGAATTTGCGACATCGTTCCGCTCGTTCCTGCGGATTAGTAAAGTGGTGAATGATGGTGTCTTCTTGATGGCCTCCACATCTATGGGTCGGGAATGTATCCAGCACTCCATCATCATGTTAAAGCTGCTGTGCAGGAGCGTGGCTGACTTTGGGGTAGCTTCGATAGCTTGCGGGTATAAATAGAAGTAGCAGTTTGGGAAATATGGGACTTGATGGTCTTCAATTCGCTACAAAGTCTGCATGAATCTGTGCAATGAGATATTCTAGTTGGTCGTAGCAACCTACAGTACTTGCAGTGATGCACGGTAGGAAGTCTCAGTAATGTTCATTCTATAGTATACAGGAATGATTTGTCGGATTAGAGATTATATGGTGGTTATGTCCATATTGGTCTAGGCCTATCAGGCTTGTACATCAACCAGTATCTTACAATGTGAGTCCCGATCATTCACAAGGGCCTGGAAACCTTTCTCCACGACTTCATCAAGCTTGATCTTCGAGGTAACCATCCTCTCGGGTTTCAATTGCCCTGAAACACGATTAGAAAAGTTAACCTGAACAACGAAGACATCGTAGGACTCACCATAACTAAGTGCTCGAATAACTTCTCGGAACGCACTCTCATCGTACAGTGCTGATCCCGTATAGTTGACTTCACTATACATCAACTCATTGACTCGGATGGCTGGTCGCTTCTCCCACACCGCAATGTTTACTATTGTTCCGTGCGTTCGACATGCTGCGATGGCTCCGTTCAAAGCCACCTCCACACCAGCCGTATCAAAAACAACATCGGCTCCCACGCCGTCGGTCAACTCGCGTACCTTTGTAGCGACGTCTACCTCTCGCGGATCCAGGATATGGTTTGCGCCGTAACTAGAAGCGAACCGCTTCCTATTCTCCGTCAACTCCGCAACAATGATGTTCTTTGCCCCCTGTAGTGCGAGCACCTGGATGATCCCAATACCGACAGGTCCGCCCCCGAGCACCAAGACGTTGTCATTTGGCTTGAATGGAGATATGTTCACGGCGTGCCAGGCTACTGCCAACGGTTCTACTAATGCTGCTGCTTCGAGGGATACGTTGTCGGGAATCGTATAGAAATGTTCTGCGGGTGCTACGATGTACTTCGCTAATCCACCACCGTAGCCTGCCAAGTTAATTAGTATGTAGGTCTGCATGCTTACTATAAGTTGTATGGATATGTACGTACCAGAAAGTCCGATGAAACCGATCTTCTCACAACAGTATTCATAACCCTGCTTGCATGGTGTGCATTCTCGATCGAATATGGTCGGTCGCACAACCGCTCGTTGTCCCGGAGAGATATGGGTCACTCCTTCTCCGACTTCTTCGACGATTCCGCTGAATTCGTGGCCGAGTGTTACTGGCAGGCTGGTTCCTGTGATTGCGTGTGGCTTTTCTGGAACTAGAACAGGGCCTCCGGAGTATTCGTGGATGTCTTTTGAGAGTAAGTTTGGGGAATCTCGATACAGATGTCGATCGCGAACTTACCACTTCCACAGATCCCAACGAATGATGGTCGCATCTATGAGTAGATTTGTTAGCGCATACATTGTAGTTGCTATGTGCCTGAAGCGCACCTTCACCTGCCCTTTGCCGCATCTGGGTTCTTCAATTTCCTCAACCCTGATGTCGCCGCGACCGTGAAAGCGCGCTGCCTTCATGACAGGCGTGGTTTTAAGGGTTGTTCGATAAGTGTTGACAGAGTCGGTTGCAGTGTTCAACATTTTTGCGGACGAATTCTGGTGTCCTCGACAATGGTGGAAATCTGTATATTATGTAGTTATTCGGTAGAGATATGATTATTAGTAATGTATAGCCTGAGGGAATCGAAAGCTTCAATTATCTTATATATGAGAGCTAAATGGTATAAAGTAGATAAGGGCGAACAGTATCCTAGACGTTTTTATGACGTTGATCATGATCACCGGAGATCATAGATCTATCGTACTATAAGCTGCTCGTCTGAATTAGGTTTGACAGATCATGATGTATGGAGTAACCGTCGAGTTTGATTGGTTCATTTGCATCTCGTTCCTTTGACAACCATTACAACATCCATGATGTTGCATTCTCCTGCGCGACGCCATGTTATTGGCCTGCGTATAAGAATAGTACTCCAGCTAGCAGCTTGTGATTTGCTGGAACTGAGTGGCGCTAATTCAGGTTCAAGTATTTGCTGAGAAGTGGCTCAACTGCAAGCGGCCAAGAATCAGAAGGGGGTGGCTTGAAATGGCGTCTGGGGAGTGAAGCTCGATTCTTCACTTTGTGGGGTGCTAGGCAGTGGCGTCATATATCCGGCATTCCGACACATGACACTGAGTAATATCCAGTCCCGCAGCTGTCACACGAAATGGGGCAACCAGGTCGTTTTATTATTAGTGTCCAGCACTTGACAGTCTAAAGAGATCAGCAGCACTGAGCGCAGGCTTCTAGAATAAAGGTAGCGGCAATTTTGAATGGTAGCGATGGGCAGCCGCCTTATCTGCTCCCGCTGCCACACTTTAGTCGCAAAGCTGCGTGAACCTGCGTAAGGCTCGAACGCGGGGATTCATCCCGACCAGTTAAGCTTCTTCTTCACGCTGTTGCTCAACAAATGCTCGCAAAATAGACTCCAGTCCTTCGTTACGGCGTGCAAGTAGCATCACATCTGCGACATTGACTGTTGAGCGCCCGGCATGCCTAAATAGGAAATGCCGAGTGTTAGCCCGGAACCAAGGTCAAGCATATCCTTATCCAGATCGCCCCTGGAAGGTCACGATCACATCAAAACAAGGTAACCAGGCCCTGCTAATTGGGACTTTAGGCTTAGGGATCTGGCTTACTTAGCAAATGACTCCAGATCCTGGCTGACCGTCTCTGTTCATCATCCTTAGTCAGCTACAGGTTACAGTGATCGATACATGACGAAAGCCACCATGCAATGAGTGAACGGCATTAAGAATCGTCTGCGAATTGGTGGTGTACACATTGAACCTACCGATTTGGGCCCAGACCATTTCAGTCAAAGCTCCGATGAACTGAGGGGTGGCGTTGACACCAAGCTTGATGGTCTCTTCATCCACGATCTTTCCAATCGATAACCAGAGAGCAGATTTCAAGCGCTGCAAGACGATTTGTTACTGTGTGCCATGTATGCTATGGATGATGTATACTTACCTCTTCAAGATTGACTTCTTCGTTCTGCTCCATTATATCTCGAGACTGTCGAAAAGCAAGAAGCTTTATGTGTGGTAAGATCGATAAAGAATGCGAAATAGGCCTTTGTCCGTGGCGACAGGATGGGATATATCGTTGATTGATCTAGCAGTCTTCGACGCGCGATGCTCGTGTCCTCTGCAGAAGACGCGTTGAGCGTACATACAAATCGAGATCAGTTGTGATTGGCTTCTCAGCCCCTCCCGGAGAATCCATAACTCCGAGCGCGGAATGACGCTAGACCCCGAACGACCCATTTCCACATTCGGAATTCTTCTCTACTGTCCATCAAGTTCCACGCCTGTTCACCGAACCAGGGACTTCTCCTTACTCTTATCGCGTCAGTCTGTCAGGCAAATAATTGCCTTGCAATTAGCTCACTATTTCCGCTCCACGAGCTGCCTCCTGGGCCTCCCAAACCCCACGACCAAGCTTCCCAACAAAACATCCACTATCTTCCGGCCAAAGCCGGCGACTTCCCCTCTACGCAACCCAGCAGCATTCGGACACACGGTCACTTCAGACCTGAAAACAAAACATATCTTCCAAAATGGCAACCCGCGATCCCGGCGAAGTTGCCGCTGACGCTCTCAACGACTTTTTCGGTCAACTCTACAGCTTCTTTGAGACCATCTTTACCCGATTCTTCGGAAACCTCTATGCCTCCTTCGCCGATGTGAGCATCAACCGCTGGACGAAGGTCATTCTGTCTGTGATTGGCTACCTTCTCGTCCGGCCATACATCGAGCGTTTCTTCAAGTTCATGCATGACCGAGACCGCAAGAAGCAGCTGGAGAAGGAAAAGGCCAAGAAGGATGGAAAGAAGGCGAAGATGTCAGCTAATGAGCTTCGTGGCGGCGCCGGAGCTGGTCGAGTCCTCGGAGAAGTGGAGAACACGGACGATGAGATTGAAGATGGAGAGGACTTCGCGACGGCGAGCGGCGTCCCTGAGTGGGGAAAGAACGCTCGGAAGAGACAGAAGAAGTACATGAAGAACCTGGAGAAGGAGGCTGAGAGCCGGACACACAATCTCTCTGAGGAACAGCTTATGGAGCTACTGGATTGGAGTGAGTCGGAGGATGACAAGGCCGCTGGTAAGAAGGAGTAGGTCGTGTCTTTTGACCATATTCTTTTCTCTGCCTTGTATTCGATAATATGATTTTGGATGGGAAACATATACTTTGGAGATTGTGGTCTTTCCGATGATGTACCATAAAGACCGGTGGTGTTATAATATATGTAATAAGATAAAGCATCAAGGTGGCCTTTCTGCGCTGCCTCTTAATTTATAACGCAGATATTATGGATCCTGAACGACTGTAGAGTTGTGGTGGGCTACGATAGAGTCAATGCTATTTTTCTGGACTGATCGAAATGCGTGACTTTTTTTTTTTAAAACAGTCTCGTGATAGACAAGAGCAAGTGTTAAATTAGGCTCCCCATCAGCGTCTTGGCCCACAACCCGAATACAATGGTTATGTCGAATAATGAATGCATAATCAACTTCTGGCAATTCCGTCTGGACAGATAATCATGGGAAATACATTTGTAAAGCCGGTAGGCGCGTCGATCAATGGGTCATTGATGTTAGAAGAAGCTGCTCTCGGCACACACATGATAACACCTGCCGATACAGCATCCGGTACGGTATCCGATACTGCCACCGATACACCTCCGATACATTTGAATAACACCCCGTTGGGTGAGATTCCTCATTTTTGTTTGAATGTGAGGGGGACCTAACCTTTGTATAATGAGAGTATTGAAAAGAAATAAGCCCGGAAATATGAATATGTATTTTCTATAAAGAATTGTAAACCAAAATGCAAAGCGAGGGCTTTCTCTATGCTGTTACGTCGGCGAATGTTCTGATTACGATGCTTCAGGCCATTGTTACTTCGCCAAGCAATCGCCTTACTACATAATAATCTCACTCTATTCCAATCATTCCAGAATATGTGTGAAGTAACTACAATTACAATGCTCCTAGGAATTCATCAATCCTTTCTAGGGACTACGAATGTTGAGAGAGGCGGTTCCTCTTCGCAACGGGCAGCGGTCACGCTCCCCCATCTGGGGGCGGTACGCCCCGCTTATCTGGGGTATTCAGCGGGACATACTGAAACAAAGTCGTCCGACTCGCTTGCAAGTTACAACACTCAGCATCTTCTGTCTGTATACAACAGATACACATTAGCTTAACTCAGCGATTTATACTTGTTCTCTATAGGCCTTGGCGACAGGGTACGCCGCGCTTCTATTTGCTTACTCAAATACAACATGGTACGTACATACCTGCTTCCACACAAAGTGGCAGCGTCGGTCTAACTTATGATTAGTCGCAGCAGTACAGAAAAAGAAGAAAGATCGCGCTCGCCTGTTTACCATGTCGTGCGCGAAAAATCCGCTGCGATGGCATTGAGCCCAGCTGTGGCTCATGCAAGCGACGGGAGACCTCGTGCTCTTATCCCGTGGAAAGTGTCAGGAAAGCTCAAGATAACCAGTAAGACCCTGCTGTGGATTGTGGACGAAGCTTCGGGCCAACTGTACTTGTCATTTTCAGGTATATACACCGGTTACACACCGTTGATCGAGCTGCGTCTGCAAGAGCCACCCACATTCCTGCGTCTGGAAGCCCACTTGCTTCAGTAGAACCTAGAATTGGACAGAGTACACCAGGTGGTGTCAGTCAACAAGGTAATATGAATAACGATACCGCTGACTCTCGGAGCATGCCTTTGCGAGCACACACAGAGGATGGTCCCACTGCTTTCCCTCAAAATGCCCTCATGAGCAATGACGGATACAATGCCTCTAATCTTAGAACAAGGCATGCCTCGGGCTTCCGGAGTTCTAGAGGAAGCCAAAGTCGAATCACCGCAATGGGCATAACACCCGACGGACCCTTCGGCTTGTCAGAGAGCGAGGACGAGTTCTTTGGTGATTCATCAGTCGCGTCTTTTCTTAAACAGATCAAAGAATCTGCAACAACAGAGCCTGAACGAGGAAGATCGACAGCATATCCGGTTCCGAGTGCGACTTTTGGCACACCGTCAATTCCAATACCACCAGTGGCTGATAATAGTCTGAGTGTCAAAGCCTACGATCTACCACCACGACAACTGGCGGACTATCTTTTAAATTTCTATTTCGATAAAATCCACAGTCTGTATCCATATGTTCATAAACCAAACTTTCTTCGCGCTTATAGGCGCTTATGGACGCCAGATACGGAAACAGACACAGAGACCATCTCGTCCGGACTGGGCTTAGGAGATGCCTACGTGCCCCCGGCACTGTTTCATTGCGCACTGAACATAATATTTGCTCTTGGATGTCACTTTTCTAAATTAGATCATACAGCGCGGCAAGCTACAGCGGAGGAGTTCTTTCAGCGTTCGCAGCGACTATTGAATGTGATGTCACTTGATAAAGGTGATTTAGCCCTAGTACAAACCTTACTATTGACGTCGCAATACTTGCAAGGAGGCGAATCTCCATCGAGATGCTGGAATATAATCGGTCTTGCTTGCAGAATCGCACAATCTCTCGGTATGCATTCTCTCAAGGCAGATAGGACTAGGACACCTGCCCAAATACAGATGAGAAGGCGCATCTGGCATGGATGTATAATGCTTGATTTGTGAGTGCATCAGATTAAAAACGTTCATATTACTGACAAAAACCCAAGGGCAAGTAGTATGATGCTGGGTCGTCCTCCCATGACTCATTCTTCCGCAGTACCTCTTCCAGAAGCTATCGATGATGCACTTCTCGATTCGACCACAGCAACCTGTCAATCGCCAGCGGGCACGCTTTCCAAAGCTGAATTCTATGTCAGAACTCTACAGTTATACAAGATACTCAGAAAGATACTATATGATGTCTATGAGCCTTGGGAGGACAGGTGGTCTCCTGATCAGTCAGAACGACCAAAGTCCGAGAATGAGTTAGCACAGACCTTGCTCAGTTTAGATGAGGAGCTTTTGGAATTTGAATCAAGTCTCCCAGCGGCTCTACAATGGCGTGATGCACAGCAGCCCGCTGGTGTGGCTGGACCATTCCGTCGTGAAAGCAGCCTGTTGAGGGGAAGGTGAGTACTGCTGCGAATCGTTTGATGATACGTCACTGACCCTTGCCCCAGATTTCTTCACCTGAGAATCTTGCTTCTTCGTCCTACGCTTGTCAAGTTCTGCCGTGACAATTTGCCACCGCGTCAAGCGGCCGGCTATCCTCGACCCCAACAAGTACCGTTGAAAAGCAGAATAGCCGTGGATTTCGGTATCAGCTGCTCGACGTCATGTATCGAGACTGCGATTGAGCTGTCGCATCTTATGAATGAAATTTCGACGACTGAACTGGCAAGTGTGTGGTGGTACAATGTTTTTTGTATGTGCCCCCCATGAGGAGTACGAAGCGGCGGCCGCTGAATTAAATCACTAGATGCTTTTACGGCTGGCGTTGTTCTTATACTGGCACAGGCATCCCCTGCTATGAAGTCTAGATTTTCTCAACCAGTCTTGGGCAATGCTTGGAAGAGCTGCTGTGACTGCTTGGAAAACATGGACCTGTACAGCAACACCGCCAGAAACTGCGCCACCAACCTGCGGAAGACCCTATCTCAAGTGCTAGGCGGCCAATGGCATGAAAATAGTGTGCATATTGAGAAAACTGAGCCTCAAACTACAGACCGACACATGGGCGATGATGTAAATTTATCTACAGCACCGAATATCTTCGGTCTCGATGGATCAGAGGTTGGGGATGGTTCCAGCCAAGGCGCTCTAGATACTCAATTCTCTGAGGCATTGGACTCTCTCTGGAGTGGAGATGATGTGAATAATTCTCTGATGGAGATGCTATGGGATGACCTTTGGTTGGCAGCGCCATCATTCTTCTGATATTCGCCAGATCATGATGAAACTCAGCCTATTGAAATGTGAATAGAAAATAGCAAAGAAGAGAGAGCCACCTGGCCAACATACAGGACTTCCTAGGAACTCGACATTTACCTCCTAGATTATTATTATAATGGAAAACAATCTTTTCCCATCTGCCAGGGAATCACTTGTCGGATAAACCATGGAACATGGTCTAGAGCTATCAAGTTACATGACCCTTCATTTAGAAAACGCCGATCTCAAGGCGATCTTGCATAAACTCCGCACATGGCCTTGTCATGTGTGAGGGGTTTGAGAACGCTTTCCTGTGCAACACTTAGCTGACTTTATACACTGCTATAAGAAACTGTATAGTCAAGTGTCCGAGTTTAAAGTAATCTACTCTGCCATGAGCGCATTGCTTATAATCATTGACGTCCCTTTTCCTCTTGTCAACATACTACTGAAACATTTGCGGCGTTCATGACTGAGACCAGAAAAGTAGACGTGTTCATTAGTGGTGGCGGGCCTACTGGCTTGCTTACTCCGTATGCACTTGCTGGACAGGGTGTGGACGCCTTACTCGTTGGTAGGGACTTTCTTACTTTCTTCCCTCAATGAATCCCCCCAAGAGGCTAAACTTCACTGATTGCTCGGCACAGAGCAACATGATAAAGCTCAACAAGCCATGTACGGTCGCGCAACAACTCTCCATCCGCGCACGCTTGAGTTGCTAGACCAATTGGGCGTATTAGACGACCTGAACCAAATCGGTTATGTGGCCCGCGATAGTGTGGCTTATAGGGTATGCAACGCAAGTTGACGAGGCGAGCAGCGTTCGAGAATATTTTGCTAGCTCCATTACCACCCACTGAAGAATCATGGATATGTTGCTAGGCCTCTCAAGTTTCATTGCAGATTTGTGGCATAGAGTCGTCACTGATTTGGCTGCTATTTCAATGACATATTTTCACATGTTTCTGACACGAGTATAAGCTATTATCTGAATGGTGCAGGAAAATGTCGAACAGGTGTAATCCCCGTTAAACCTGGTCTAACACGACAATGATATAGTTTGGTTTCGGGTGCTGTATGGTAATATTACCGAAGCCGAAACATACCACTATGAGCCACCTCAAGTGGAACCTTTTAGTTCCAAGCTTGATTCTCAGCACCAAATGAGGTTCCTGATGTTTGGGATTTGTACCATGCATCGTTGCACTACTAGGAATACACTACCTTGTGCCGTGGTATGAAGCTGAGAACCCCGCAGATCCTCGACCCGCCCCCGCAACCAAACAGTGGCAGGCCGGTGAAAGATGACCTCTACCCGGTTAACGTCCTTCTAGTGCTTATCAGTGCCACTGGCTCCCATGTTATTTAATCGACCTCTTCTTCCTCTATCTCTCTATATAATTTCCCAAGACTCAACTAGGTCAATTTATCACCGACCAACTCACCAATATGGGCCTGCTCAGCGACTTAACTCGACTTGATTCAACACATCATGAACCCGTCTCATACTTTCTGCCATATATTGCCTTCTTATCACTCTTCTCCCTAATCATTTACGTTCTATACATCCGCTTCTACAGCTCATTAGCTAAAGTCCCTGGCCCCTTCTGGGCCAGTCTTTCGCGATGGTGGCTGGTATTCTTCTCAGACAAAGGCAATATGCATCGATTGTATCCCCGTCTTCATGAAAAGTATGGCAAATTGGTTCGCGTTGGACCAAACGAAGTTAGTGTGGCAGACCTGGATGCCATCCAGACGATTTATGGTATGGCCGCTTTTCACCTGATATTGTTTCGTCAAAGCGCTGATGCTTCAGCGTGTAGGGGCTGGAAACAGATTCGCAAAGAGTGATTGGTACAGTGAGTATACTCACCCTCTCAATGACGCTGATGTACAATTTGGCTGAGATATTACAAAGGCGTTTGGCAAGGTCGTCGTAAATTCGATCTCTTTGCAGAACGAAGTGAGATTATCCATGGTGCTCAGCGACGACTCGTCAACAACATCTACTCGATGAGTAGTCTCAAGGACTTTGAGCATGGCGTGGATGCAGTCGTCGAACGACTCATGCAGTGTCTACACCGGCAAGGGCCTGACGCAACTGTTGATATGGGGAAGTGGGTGCAGCTGTTCGCTTTTGGTAATTTTTCCCAAAGATCTTCAATCCATGTTACGTCCTTCTAATAAACTCAACCCAGATGTCATTGGAGAAATCACATTTTCCAAATCATTTGGTTTCCTCGAGAACGGCACAGACGGTGGCGCATTCAGTCAGATTGAGAACGCACTGCGCTCGGCTTCCTGGGTAGGCCAAGTACCCTGGGTTTACTGGCTGCATGATTACATGACGCCTATCATTGGAAGTCGTTTGGGTATCGCAGCGCGCCATGGTACGATTCGACAGATTGCAGCTCGTGAGATCATGGCCCGTAGGGAGGGGAAGCATGTCGAAGAGGCTAAAGAAGAGCAAGACATCTTATCCAAGCTCTTTGACGTGCAGAAGAAGAAAGGAAATCAGCTGTCAGATGATGATGTGCTCTCAATGGCTACGTCGAATGTTTTCGCGGGCTCTGATACCACGGCTATCTCGATCAGATCGATCATTTATCATTTGCTGAGGACGCCAGCTTGCCTCAAGAAGCTCAGGGATGAAATTGAAGAGCGGAAACGTCAAAGGAAATTCTCGGACCCGGTTACGCTGGACCAGGCGAATGACATGCCGTATCTTCAGGCGTGCATGTGGGAGGGGTTGAGACTGCACCCGGCTGTTGGGATGACTCTGCCTCGTGTTGTTCCTAAGGGGGGTATTGTGATTGATGGGTGCTTTCTGCCTGAGGGGGTAAGATGACTCCAGTTTCCATGGCTTGTTGATGTTGAATGCTCAATGAAGGACTGTGAACTAATACAGGATGAAATAATAGACAACCGTGGGCGTCAACCCCTGGGTCGTCCATCGCGACTCCAGTATATTCGGCGACGATGTTGAAGCATTTCGCCCTGAAAGATGGCTAGGAGAGAAGACAGGCGATATGAGTGAGTTCATACCTCCACATTATGTTATTATTCAGCTAATCGGTTCCCTCCTAATATTAGGACGATACTTCTTCGCTTTCGGCGGTGGTTCCCGACTCTGCATTGGAAAGAGTACGTCTACCTTCACCATCATGTATGGAGATATCTATAGCTAACATCTATCACAGACATAAGCTGGATGGAAATGAGCAAGGTAATGGCCACTCAATCTATTGAGACCACTCTCTACAATATCAACTAACCGCGCAATAGATGATCCCAACCCTCCTCAACCGCTTCGACATCCAACTCGCGAACCCAGATGAACCATGGAAGGAAACATGTTGGTACGTATACTACCATCCACGCCCACAACTCGTATCAAAAACATTATCATATCAGCTAAGTCAATACTAACAACTATCACAGGTGGTTCGTCAAGCAAGAAGGTCTCCTCGTCAAACTCTCACCCCGCAAATCATAAACCCCTACCTCCTCACCAACCATGTCCCAACGTTACCCCCAACTCATCATCAAACTGTACATACAACCCACCAAGACAAATCAATGATGACTATCCCTCCACTCCCCCGCCCTAAAAACCCAATCCCTGACCAACGCCCCAAACACCCCCCTCTCACTCGCATCAACCGGCAACCCATGCGTCCCGCGATCCAGCACCGCAAACGTCGCCCTCGGATACTTCTCCAACAGACCCAGACAATCCCTATACCCCACGCTCTCATCCTGCCTCCCACAAACCACCAGCGTTGGGGCCATCAACTTCTTCCCATCCCCATCCCCAACCCCATCCCCAAGTACCTCCTCACTCAACCGATACCTCCCCACATCCCCTCTTATCAAATCCAAAACCCCCTTATCAGCCCCCTTCTCCGCAGGAACATACACCTCCCGATACTTCCTCACTAACTCCCCCACATACCCCTCCGTCTGCACCAGCACTTTACCCCCGTTATCAATACCGAGAAGCGTCCTATCCTCATCATCAAGCCCATCCATGAGTTTGTCATTCTTAATAAGTGGTTCGACCCTATCAACATCCCGTACCCGATCCTCCGGCTCAACCAACGGCACCCTGAGAAGTAACCCATCTATCTGAGTCATGTACTTCTGAGCGATTGCACGCGCGAGATACGCCCCGCAGGAGGATCCGATCAACATGAAGCGAGCATCTCCTAGAGTCGTGTCGATGAAGTGCACGAGGTGGTGGTACATGTCGTCGAGGGAGGTGATGTTTCTTGCTGGCGTGGAGGCCGTTCCTGGGAGGGCGATGTAGACTCGGCGCAGATTGGAGTTGGGAATGTTGGTGAAGATGGGCTCGAAATCGTGCATTTCTGATTCGGGTGTCATTTCCCACCCTGGGATTATTAGGATCGGGTGGCCGGTGGGTGGGCCGTGGGTTTGCGTGGGGAGGGGGGTCATTCTTGGTTTCTGGTTTCGGGTTTTGGTTTTGGTTTTGGTTTTGGTGGTGGGATGGGTTGGGTTTGGGTATAGTAAGTACTATGTGAGGGATGGATGGTTGGAGATGTGCAGGGTTCAATCTAGGAGGGTTGTATCTGGGAGGGGATGGATGGTTGGGAGTCATAGATTAGATTTGTGATGGATTTGTCAGATCACGCCAGATCATTCATTTAGCTTGGTGGATTGGCTAGTTTAGTTTACGGCTGGGAGTGACTAGTGGATTTGAAGGTGTCAGGGTCAGGGTCAGATACGAGGGTGGGATCCAAGCTAGTTGATAGGTAGTTAATCAATATATTGCGCTGAGGAAGGACTTCAGTATGTAGTGATGGTGTTGTGGTCGTCATGTATATATAAATGAGATAATAGCTGAAAGGGACTTGAATGCGTGCAGATCCTGGACAGGCTTGGCAAGCGGAAGAGTCATGGTCATGAACTCTATGATTCTTTGTAGAAATCTCGTTGCCACAACTGGAAAAAGTACTTCATTCGAACAATACCGGAGGCCGTACTAGTCGATCATTGCGAGTGCTCCTTCAACCACTTGTACACCACAGAAAAGTCCTTCCCACGGTGTTCCTCCTCAACAGCATTATACACCTTCTGAGCAGTATCTGCCAGCGCCAGAGGTGTTTGCGACTCCTCCGCAGCAGTAATCGCCAGTCGAAGATCCTTGTTCATAAGACTCACTCCAAACCCTCCCTCGTAACCACGAGATGCCGGTGCCGTCTCAACCACACCAGGTACGGGGTTGTTCACTTCCATGGGCCAGCACCGGCCAGTCGACGAATTGACAAGCTCCGTCAAAGCCTTGGGGTCCAATCCCCATCGCATGCCAAGGTTCATTGCTTCCGCGGTCGCGATGTTGTTGATCGCCAGGATGTAATTGTTCGCCAGTTTGCCTGAAACACCGGCCCCCGGGGCGCCCATGTGCCAGGCCTTCTTCCCCATCATGAGTAGCACGGATCGCACACGATCAAGCAACTGACCAGTCTGCGAAGTGGCACCGAACATGAAGCACAATGTGCCGGCACGCGCACCCACCACACCACCCGATACAGGGGCATCGACGAAGCGCCCTTGGGATGTGGTTTGTATAGCGTTTGCGATTTCCTTTGATGACGCAGGATCGATTGTTGATGTATCGATGAAAAGTCGCTCTTCTTCTAGCGTGGGAAGATCACCGTCTCGTAGAATAGAGTGATAAACATCCTTGACATGCTGCGGCCCTGGAAGGCTGGTGATAATCACGGACTGGACAGTTCATCAGCAAACAAACCCAATTAAATGCGGGGTTCTCGTGAATGGATATAGCACCCCCAAGTATGTAGCCTTAAAGTAGCAAACAATGTCCGATCGCAAAGCCACGTAAGGTCTCGCATCGAGCGGTGACATACCCCCGAATAGGAACGATCAACTTACCGACTTTTCCGCAAGTTCTCTCGCGGTCTGAGCCACCAGAACCTCCGAAGCGCCGTCAGCAGCGCCGCTGCTCCTAGCGATTTCTTTCGCTTCCTTCACAAATCTAGACATGTTCTCTTCATTCACGTCTCGAATAATTAAGGTATCCGTCTCAGGAATCTTAGCGCGCAGGTTCTTAGCCATGTTGTAGCCTGTGGTAGACAAAGACATTGTCAATGTCAATTAGACAATGCCATTGAAAGATGTTAAAGGCTTTCCCGACTGCGAATACCTACCCATTTGGCCCAGTCCAATAAATCCCCATGTAGCATCCCGTTGGGCAGAAGTCGAGAACGTGCGACCAGACAGATGGTAGTGTTGCGTGAGACGGCATGTCGAGGGTGCTGCTTTGAATAAGGCACCCCTTCCACTGCGAAGGGGCAGAGCACGCGAGAAACTCATTTCAAAAGATGTATTACACGATAATGGGAGAGGCCACTCAAGGTATAACAGAGAGAGTAGTGCTAGGAAGAGATAGTATTGGTAGAAGGAAAAAGCGTAGTGATCTGGGGGAGCGAGCAGCCGTAAGTTGGAGAACAACCGAGCACCCCTCGGCCCAGTGGAGTGCTGGAAAGGTGGAACTCCGCTGCTTTCCGAGGCTTTCCATTCTTCAAAGTACCTCAAGCCAGGGGCATCATTGGGGAATGACGAATAGAGTTGAGAGTCGACGATCTTCCCTTTCCTGCCTTCAATGCGGGGAAGCCCCGATGCGGTATGGCGTCGGGGAGCGTCACGGGATGGGCCCGCCGCCTGGACCGTGAGGCATCCACTCTCCCCACTGGACTTCGCCCCAACCACTACTACTGTACTACTCCATTAGCACTATGATCTTGTCTACATATCTTCTGATTCAATTAATTAATCTATAGATGTCTGTACTACATACGGCCAAGGAAATGATGAAAACGAGGGCAGGCGAACAGACGTCAAGGAAGAGTAAACGAAGGAAACATCGACGAATGGGTATGTTGAACGCCAAATCACACCAAGCACCGGCTTACAATATCAAAGCAAAGGAATGGCGCACGAGGATTAGAGTGATGGTCAGTTCCATCACTGTTGTGCTGGGGAAGATGGGTTGCTCGTTGGCCCCGTCAGATACTCCGCAGGCACCTTGGGCACGCGCGGTGAGCTGGCCGTCTGAATCATCGCTCGCTGTTGGGCTCGAACCAGATCACGCTGTCTCTCCTTTTCCCGATTCGTAGCTGCCCCGCCGGTGAGTCGTCGCATACCGCTGCGGATCATGGATTCAAGGGATGAGGACCCGTCCGTGGCACTACGCGTTTGACTGATAGGATGCGGCATGGCTTGTTTGTGATCAGCCAAGCCGTCCTCTATCTCGTCGTCGGATAGGAACGCCGACTCAAATCCGATCAAGGGTGTGTTATGATGTGCACTAGAACTCTGAGACGTAAACAAATGATTGACTGGAGACGTGACGGAGCGCGTGTGGGAAACGGGCCGAGCAGTTTGACTCTGAGGCTGGGGAGTAAAAGTCCCGGGAGATGGCGTTCCCATGCTGTCGAAGCGCAGATTGGACGGACGGGACTCAGCAAGTCCATTATGGAAAGAGGACGTTGAGGCGGTTCGGGCAAGGGACTTGCGGAGGATTGGCGCAGTTTGCTGATCGTACAGATTGGCGTTGGTATCGGCAAATGTACCAGTAAAGCCCCGTAGGGTGGAATCGGAAATAGGGTCCAGCGTTGCGTGCACCGGGTCTGTCTCCTCGAAGAAGTCATCCAGACTGTCTAGCTTCTGGACGATGTCCCCCATGTTGCCGTCCGTTTGCGTATCGATAGATTTCATCGTGTCCGCCCGCATGGGGAAGAACGTGTCATTATACTCGTCGGCGTGGAATTCCACCTCAGAGGGTGCTGTCTCCTGCACTTCCATATGGTCAACCTCCGCGCAAGTGTAAAACACTGCATGGACATTGTGTCGTGTGATGCTTGATTGCGTCGCGGGCATGGGTATCGACCATCCGGTGGGCTCCGGTATACCATACAAGCTCTGCACGCGCTCGTACTCCTTTCGGATAGCCCGAGAAGACGACGAGGAAGCCATGCTCATCCGGATGTGATGCTTCTCCATTGGATTGGCCGAGACGGTCATGATGTGGTCCATGACCTGCAAAGCTTGGGGACAGAGATCCGTTTGTAGCAGTCGCAAGAGAGGAGAGATCAGATCAGGCCCATGACACGTCACTTCTCCACGACGCATGTCCATGTCAGGTAACAGCACGCATAGTATTTTCATGACCTTGACGCGGAACCAGTTTGTTGTATTGGTCAGCAAGCCCATGAGGAAAATAAGACTTTGAACATCCTGGCGGGGGAAGTAATAAGACCGAATCTCCGTGATAATATGGTTCAGGAAATCGTTCTCCGCCTTGTATTGGCCGTTGGCAAACCCGAGCAGTGAAGCTGCTAGTCGGGGGCATCTTTCACTTTCAGCGACCCTTGCCAGCAGTGTCGCGCGCGCCAATGTCTTGGGATCGTCAACATCGGAGTCAAATTGACGCAAAAAGTGAGACAGATTGGCTAATATGGCAAATAATAACCTGTTACCATCACCAATGAGCTCGTTGTTTGGAAGGGCACTTAGTCGGTGCAGGATGTCCAGTGTTCGATTCAAAGATTCAGATGACTTGAGACCCTTGTAGATCAAATCCTGGAGACCATCAAAGCCACCTTCCCACTTTGGCGGTTGGCCTTTAATGAGCTCTGAAACTACCATGGGGTCACTCATGTCGACACGGTCCAGGAATTTCTCAAGCATGCCAACGCTTTCAATAAACTCCGTTTCGTGGATGGTATTCAAGCACGCACATGTAGTCCAGAACAGCTGGGGATAACGCAGCAGGTCAGTAGGCGCCAAAGAGCTGATAATGATCTTAAGTGTCGTAAGGATTTCCATGGAGAAAGTTCGATAGTCCGACTCTTCGTCTGCAATAGTGTTCGACAGACGAGCCAACATATCAGCCAGCATCCGGGAGTCGAGAGACATGGATATGCAACGAAACACTTGGAACGACCGACAGGCGAGATGTCGCACTGGGCATGACGTCGCCCAGTTCAACGCCTCTTTCGCCCATAAGTCGTTCAGCCCTTCATATCCAAGGCTGAAGAAACCGACCACTTGGCGAGTGACAGAGGCCATTGATGGCGGAACACGGCTGCCGTCCTCTTCATCTTCTTTGTCACTGGCGTCTTCGTATTCCCACACAACCTTCGGATCGCTCTTACGGATCGATTCCACGAAGTCTTCAATGGACTGCCGTGTTTCGATGGGCGCGTCATCCTCAACCTTTGCAGCGATCAACTCGTGTATCAGATGAACCAACATTTCCCTGGCCTGCTCTTGCACAGTGAGCGTGTAATGGTCCCAGAGTATAAGGACAACATGAAGTAATTTAACCAGATCGTCCATGGTCAGTGTAACAGGCGCAACCATCAAGTCAACGAGGAAAATCAGCGCGACTTGGCCCAGGGAAAGGCCAGCTTGCTTGTTCCCAACAGGAAGTACTGTTCCGAGGTCTGTGACATAAGGTAGGCTTCTGATATCAGGTGGCGCTGGCGTGATATCTTTTCTTTCTTGTACCATGTGCTTTGGCACGACCTGCAACAAGAAAAACTCGATGACCTTGGAGCCTGCGGGAGTTCCTGCCAGGAACACAACAACCTGTTTGGCATAATCCACAAAGTTCTGCTCTTTGCGTTCCAAACAGAGGCTAATGATGAAGTCAAGCACTAACTGTACGTTACCACCATGCGGGCCGGTGGCCAGAGCTTGCCAAAGGGCCTGAACCTCGTTTGGAAGAATAGTACTGCAGCGAATCGTAATCTCAAACAGATTGGCCAGAAGCATATATGACTTGGCTGTTGGGCCGCCATTGGGATCGACTTGAAGCTCCATTGTCTGGACCCACGGAAGGATGGCGGCCACCATGTTCCGCTGGCTGTCCGGCCGCAGATTCCGAAAGTGCAATGAAAATTCGGAGAAGAGAGTGAAAGCCAAGTCAGAGTGTTGCTTCGCCAAGCGTTTCGAGGTCTCGAATTGCGCAAGCTTGTAGACAGCGGTCGTCTTGTCGGAAATGCTAATGTCGAAGTCTTGTAATCTTGAACTCTTCTGTTGTCGCTCTTCCAAAATCCGAAGCAGCTTAGCAGACTTCATTCTGATCTCCCGTTTCGGGCTACCAAGTGTAACAAGTACGGCACCCAAGATTCTCCAAAACCCAAGTGGGTAATCCTTATGCTCGATGAGCACTTCGGTTACGACTTCAAAGTAGCTCTCCAATGCCTTCGGTCGCTCTGTGACATAGCACATCTCGATGGACCGTTCCAACAAGTATGAGTGCTCCTTATTGTGGATGATTAGATTTTTCAAGGCCCGTCTACCAATGGCGTGCCACTTGTCACTGATTGTGTTGAAAATAATATCAACCCAAGAAAGCATCCGGCCCACGTCAAATTGGAGCACCGACCCGCTCTCTGTTGTAATACTAATCGGCCCAGCCTACAAAAGTCAGTTGGTAGCCCGCATAGAATGAAACAAAGTCAAGACAACTTACGCATAGGGATGCCATTGCACTGAGGGCTGCTGCGCGCAGGTTCTTCTTCTCTATTTCCATGGCTGCGGCAGTATTACGCAATTCGCCAGCCTCGTGGTTCTGTGAGATGGCATTCCTTCGCATCGTCTCCTCGCGTTGCGAGATCTGGGACTGATTAGGCGAGTATCCGCACCAGTCCTCCATTAGAGAGAAGGAAGACTTTCTTGACTCGAAAGGTATCCAGCGAGAGGGGTCTTTGGTACGATTGATGCCCTCAAAAAGCTCCTCCATAAGCCCGCAGTAGTGGAAGCGAAGGCGTTGAAACTCCCAATCGTTCTGCACCTCGGCATCACTCAAGAATATCCGCAAGTCCTTTGCATAGGTGACAAGGTTGTTGACAATCCAGTCATCGTTGTAGACTTCGGGTTCTTTGAGGAAGTGGGACGTTAGTTTATACACATGCGTAACTTCAGTCCGCAACCGGTCTGTCTTGCGATTGCGCCGTGGGCTGCTCGGAGAACGATGATGTGTACCAATCCGAACCTTAGCTTCTTCGTTGCAGGTGGTAACGGCGTACTGTAGAGATTCGAGTAGGGTGCGGTATAGGTTCATGTTGATCGAGCCTAGGGCAATCACTATAGCGTTTCGTATAGAAGAACGCTCGGCTGATAGCAACGGGATCACAAAGGCGAAGAGGCTTCGGGCGGAGCTTATTTTATCCTGCGATTGTTGTGACCCTTTCGATCCCTTCCGTGCATGCTGAGCATTTGCCAGCTGACTCTGGGACTGCGCGCCTACGCTGTTGAGGGTGGTACAGGCCATGACCAGATACAGTTTCCACTGCTCAATCAAGATCTCGGCGGTTGTGTTACTCCTACCGAATGAGCGAGCTTGAA